ATATTATCAACTAGTTAAATATAACCTTAATTTACCTATTATAGTAACCTTAAAAAAAGTTATTTTACTTAGATTTTGGTTAATTTACTTAGAATGCTAATTAGATAATAATTTATATAGAAACGATTTTTTCAAAGATTATAATAATTATTAATACCAATTTATTATTTATTTAGTCGTCAATAAATATCTACAAATTATTTATGACCGATAAATGGTTCTCACAGAACAACTACATACATGTGTATGTGTATGTGTATGTATGTATAGATAGAGATGAGTGAAAGCCTTAACAGTTATTTGGTATATATTCATTAATTAGTACCATTAGATTTAAGAAGTTTCACTTATATAAGGTTAATTTGTGATGGAGACGTTTGTAAACGTATATTATATTATATTTTTAGTTTTTTAATGTAGTGGGCTGAGAAAATGTCAATTTGTCAAAACTGCTGTAATTTGCGTGCATAGGTGGCTAGATGCGTTGTCAATTTAGGACTTCCCTTGCCAATTAAAATAAACGCGTCAATTTGTATGTAAAATTGCACAAACGATTTTCAATGATTCTCATCTGCAGTTGGTATTAGTGTAGTGGGAAAGCAGTTTCTCGGGCTCAGCAAATGACTAAATAAATGCGCGATTTTTTTTCTAATCAGCAACAGCGACTAGTGGTTGGGACTTAATAAAATTAGATGGATATCAGATACGTTTAAATGCGTGTTTGTGGGTGTGCCAACCGCTCAAACTCATCGTTCGTACCGGCAGATAGAAGAGAGACCAGGAATTAGAAGATGCTATGTGCCACATATGAGGGGTCATGAACTTTAAGCCAGCAACGCAGGATCGTACCATATCGAATTATTTTACTCGTTACGTCAAATTGGGCACTACTCCCAAGCAACGTTGCCAAATATCAAAGTTTATCAAACAGTTTTTCTCTATTGTTTCCTAATGTATTAATTTTACGTAAATTTTGTGAATTATAAAATTTGTTCCTTATGTTAATCTGTATAAAAATTGTACCAATGAAAATTTACGTAGGACCTATATTTCTCGAGATACAAGGCTGAGAAAAAGTGAAGCAATGCACATACTTTCTCAGCCTCAAATCTCGAGAACTATTAGTCCCAGCTAAATTTTGTATACAGCAATTTTATGCAGATTTGTATGAGGAACAAATTTTATTATATGATAAATGTACGAAAAATTAATAGTTTAGGAGATAATAAACAAAACTGTGTTTCGTCTCCTTTGACCTTTGATATTTGGCAACGCCGTAGATACTAGTTAACTGTCTAAGCTAGTGGGGTAGTTAATAGTTTGCGTTTTAATCCATTTTATGAAAAAACCAAAAAATTTTACCTACTGCTGAATAAGACCCCTTAAAGAAAGTTAAAAAACAACAAAAAATTATAATTAAAAATATTTTAAATAATAAAAATTTGATTTCTGATACGTTGCTTGGAATTGTTCAAGGCCACGTCAAATGACCTCTGAAACTCTACAGCCCCAGAAGCAGGTAATCTCTCGTGTTTATGTAAACTCTTCTTCTTCTTCCTTGGTGGCCTAAGGCCTTAATGGTCTCGGTTTCAATGAACCACTTTGACCAGCAACCATGCGCTTCACGAAGCCATCCACCCATAGACACGTGAATTTTCCAAATCTTGGATCATCCAATCAATGTATTGTACAAATCACAAAATACCTCGCTAGAAGGTCATAGCTTGCGATATTGTCCAAAAATACATGTATATTTCTATAACTGGAATTCAATTTTGTCCCTCCTGGGTCAAAGTCAGCTATGTTTCAAACTTTTCATCGAGCAATGTCCCAGAGATGAAAGTGCGATGCACCACACACGAAAGACAAAACCGAACTCCTCATGTAAACTCCCTAGAAAAAATACCTTTATTTATGATACAAATAAAATTACGATAAGGCTAGGATATGTTTTATTATACATTAAGAACTTATTGTAACATTGTTTGTGATTGGTAACTTTATACGTTTTGAAGAACTTCTAAAATAAAAAAATAAATCAATATTAAAATTCAATGCAAAAATTACCTTGCTCACTTCAGGCACTATAGATCTTTTAACCCAATAAATCCTCTTTTTCCTCTGTGACATATAGGTAAAAATTTACTTTTAAATTGTCTTGCTTGTAGACAAAAAATAAGTATATACCTACCGAATGTAGAACTACCAATCTAATTTATATTATTTCAAAATTAACGAGAAAATAACAATCTACGAAAAGTAAGAAATTGTATTATAATTGAATTATTTATTCAGAGTTGCCAATTGATTTTACCAATTTACCCTCTAAAGTTTCTGGGTTTACTTACAAATTACTAACAACTTCAAAAACCGATCCAATTTTTAAAATTAAACATTATAAATTTTAAAGTCGTTAAACCACTTCTACCAGCCTAGAACCTAAAAAAATATCAGGAAATCAGATAAATATCCTCTTCTTAGCAATGTTTCCAAACATTAAAAACGAAATTCCCAAAATGTCCAGTTTTTGAGTTTTCAAAGCAAAATTTAGGTTTTACCCTGATTACTTACATTATACTTACAACTGTAATTTACTTACAAAATTCCTCACAGACCATAAAATTCCCTACAAATGTAAGGAATTACTCGCGGATTGGCAACACTGTATTTATTTAAAAACTTGAAAACATAACCTTAATTACTTACTTAAAATTTAAAGCCGTTTAAAACTTAAAACACGTTTAGTTAGTGCACGGATGATTATATTTTTTGTATTAACTTTTAAACAAGCACTTTTTTACGCCTTTTTGTAGAGAAGGTCTTGAAATATTAATTTACTGCATCATACCTATAACTCGCTATTGCGCATAGTAAACTGATTCTTTTTCCATGCTGATTAATTATTTGGCAAGTTTCGACCAAACTTTATATACAAACAAAGTTGGCCAGAAATAACTCTAATTAAGTCTTTATTTTCACAAACTTGAATAATTTCTTTTCCAAACCATGGTTCTTTGGGTTAGAACGACTCTTTTATTACTTCTTAAAATACTAGGCTACCAAAAAATTCATTTGGGGAGTAAAATTTGCCTCGGTACGTTCCTGTTCGCGTTTCCACGCAGTACGGATTGTTAAGTGTGTACGCATCTGCGTGATATATGGCTTAAATGGATTTTCACAACAATAAACCATTCGAAATAAATTAAAATTGTCCATTACCCATTCGCGTCGTCGTTATTAATTATTTTCACTCCTAACATCTCTAATTTATGCGCTTGGAATATTGAAATATTGAAAATTATTTTGATGGTTTTACTCTAAAAATTTCGCTCTGTGGATTACCGTGGAGTAAAGGGTCTCCAGTCTACAGGCTGTAGGATAATTTTATTTTCGATATCTCTTAATTTAATCGATGGGTTTAAAATAAATATGGTGCCACGACCACAGACACTGCCTTTTGCTTGTTTAAGGGCGGACGTATCGACAAACACCATGAAATTACCTTTATTTTGATGATTCATGGCCTTAATATAAAAAATAAATTACCAAATTGATACTCGGACATTCTCATTTAACTTTTGGTATCACTGCATTGTTAAGGTAATAAGTCAGTTAGTTACTGAAGTATATTGTAAATTAGTTTTTTTTTCAAAAACATGTTTTAGTTATTATTATTACGTAGTAGTTTGTCTCAATAAAGTAAGATCCCTTTTCGTCCAACAATTGTTTTTGTTACGGCAAAAAGATCATTTTTATAAAAATTATTTATCTACAGACGCTGCTTTCAGTAATAGCGTTTGCATTAGGCAATTATAAAGTAAATTTACGTTATGTTTATAAAAATAACACTCTTCCAGATGCAGAAACGCATTGATAAATATAGTAATTATTATTTGTCCAAAAAACAGTTCTTATACGTTTTGTAGTATTAATGAAACCCTGATGGTATTATTCATAGAAATTTTATAAATTTCACAAATCCCTTTTCGTTTAAAAAAAAACTTTTTTTATAATTTAAAAAAAAAAATTATGTAAATTTAACAACAAATTAATTGTTAATTCAATAACCTATTTTCATTGTAACAATGTTCACATTTTTAACCTACGGTTGCAACCTACCCAACACCCATGGGTGTTGGGTAGTTTTTTTTAAATAATTGTAAGGCGTTAAAACAAATTATTTATTACAACAAAGAAATTAACTCATATTATATGATGTACTTACAAAATAAAAAAATATGAACTCACTTTTTAAACAACAAGTCTGCTTCGTTTATAGAATAGACCTTAAATATTTCTTTTAGAAAACGTCGAAATTTTAATTTTCTTTTTGATATTCTTATTATGATAGATTTTACCACACTTCACTCGCACAAGTGAAATTAATAAAATTATAACACAGACTGTGGATTATAAAGTTATGTTCACCAAGGAGAGCGCTGGCCCTTTCCCCCTCTTTTTAAGGGAAATAACAAAAATTTTGTTACCATTGCAAAACAATAGTAAAAGATTTTCTAACTGAAATAAAATTAATTTGAATTACAACGATTACTTGGATGAAAATTTTTTTTATAAAAGCTCAACATTGCTGCTTCATTATGGAAAATGAGAATTTTAATAACAGTAAAAAGTTTATTCTGTAAATAAAAATAATCTCATTACTTTGACAAATCGTAGGTTTTTGTCCCAATAAGACACTGAATATTGAATAAAAAAGGTACCTTAGGTGGTACTTTTTTTATAGCCATTAGGTACAATTTTAAATTTAAGTTAAATATTATTATTTTATTAATCGCTTTACGCTAGTGTGACTTATACTTTTAAAAAACAATAATTTCGAAAAAAACTGGTTCGCACTTGTAGTGACATGATAAAACTCCAATAGTGATGTGACTACATTAACATTATCACCAAAGATTAGAGTAGATTGATATATATTATAAACCTACCTTTGATGATTAGATAAACACAAATTGATATAAATATAAAACAACGATTGTAAAAACCGCATTTGTAGTAGGTAAATACAACAAACATGCATTATCAATTTATTTTAGTGCTAGTTTTATTGGGACTTTCCCAAATTAACGCTGATAACACACCTGTAACAGAATGTAAGTGTAGCTACCACAGAAAATAAAACGTACAACTAAGCCTTAATTTTAGGTGCGGAAGGCATATTACCCACAAGTATAATCGTAGGAAATGTGGGTACTCCATGTATGTCCACCCCGTGTGAAATTAACACATCGTCGGCTGTTCAATTTGCGATCAATTTTACAGCACGTAAGACTGCTCGAGTAGTTTTATAGAGGGCGCCAAATAATTAATCCACTTAATTTTTTGTAGCCGAGTATATGGCAAGTCCTTATCAACAAATTTTCGTGGATCTGATAAAATCAACTTACCCTCTAATCGAACACGACGCCTGCAAGGGAATTTCAACTTCATGGTGCCCCATTGCAAAAGGAGAAGACGTATCGTACATTTTCAACTTTAAAATGCCCTCGTTAACGCCGACCGGCGTAAGTTAATTAAAATTCGTTTCAATTATTATTTTGTTGGCTATAATGTTTTCAGATCAACACTGGGGTTAGAGTGTATTTGCAACCAGACAAGAAGAATGAAACATCATTAGTTTGTTTCCATATTACATTAAAAATTGTTAAAGGGTAGTTGGGTGTTTATTTTAATGTCCCCACATTAATTAGATTTAAATTATTATTCTTAACATAGGCAACTAGGCTTACACCTCGCACAGTTAAAGGTTCCTGTAAAAACTGTCATCGAAAACCTAACCTAGCAAATAAGTTTCAAATGTAATATTTTTATTTTTAGTTATGTCTTTGGTAAAAAAAACATTATCAACAAAATTCCTGTCAAAATTTATAGTAAATTCAACGAAATCATCGCAAAACTTCAGCAATCAACCAATAAAGAGTTACATAAAAAATGATAAGGCAAAATACCTGAAGTATTTCTTGTTATTCACAACTGGGTACGTAACGTACAGGCAGTACAAAGATAAAATAAACTTTGTGCCGCAAATATCGGCCGCGGCGCCTTTCCTGGGCTCAGTATTAAGCGGTCGCAGAAAGCAATTCAACTTCATAGCCGATGTGGTGGAAACCTCGGCCCCTTCGGTGGTTTACATCGAAATCAAGGACTCCAGGAGGGTGGATTTTTTCACTGGAAGACCGGCCACCATCTCCAACGGCTCTGGGTTTATAATCAAGGAAGACGGGCTCATTTTAACCAACGCTCATGTAATAACAAACAAACCCAACGCCAAAGTGGAAGTGAGGCTTATAAACGGCACAACATACAACGGGGTTGTGGAGGATTTTGACGTGAAAAGCGATTTAGCTCTGGTGCGAATCTCCGCCAGAAATTTGCCTGTCATGAAACTAGGCAACTCGGCGGATTTGAAACCAGGGGAGTTTGTGGTGGCCATCGGCAGCCCTTTGGCGCTGAGCAACACGGTTACTTGCGGCGTTGTCAGCTCGACTCAAAGGAATTCGGACGAGTTGGGTTTGTACGGGAAGGACATGATTTACATTCAAACGGATGCAGCCATCACGTTTGGGAACTCCGGGGGACCTCTGGTGAACCTCGATGGCGAAGCAATCGGCGTAAATAGCATGAAAGTGACGGCGGGGATATCGTTTGCCATTCCTATTGATTACGTGAAAGCATTTATTAAGAACGCGAAAGGGCCTAAACGTGCAGATATCAAGAAGTTGTATATGGGCATTACGATGCTCACTTTAACCCCCGAGATTCTGCATGAGCTGCAGCAAAGGAACCATTTGGTTCCACAGGATATCCAAAGTGGGGTTCTTGTTTGGAAGGTTATTATTGGGTCTCCAGCCCACAGGTTAGTTTTTATTTTTAAGACAAAAAATACTTATTTGTTAAACAATTTTAATTATCGCAGCAACATTATTGAAATTTCTTAGGGTTAAAAACAAATTTTACAATGTCAAAATTATTGATGTCATTTTTATCTTGGCAATTTCTACGCGTTCGTGTATTCTGTGTTGCCGCCCTAACTAGGGTTTTTAAAACTTTTTTCCAGGCCTTTGAAAAAAAATTTCAAGGCAATCAATCTTTTAACATTAAAAAAAAACTTAATTGAATTAAATTGATTTATGAAAATCAAAATAAATGGTAAATATACTGTGATTGATTTATATAAATTTTAATAGGCCTTGTGAATCACAAGTTGAGATAGAAAAAAACTAGTAATTACTACCTTTTAAAAGGTATAAAAAAATTAATTAATGTTGGGAAAATGTCATTTTATGACCTATCAACCAATTTTTTTAGTTAAAATTAATTTCAAATTTTTTATTTAAAAACCTAGACATGACGGCCATTTCAAGCGCGCGAAACGCACGAATTACAAAACTGTTTTTATAAAAAAAATTGTAGATTATTTATTATATAATATTTTGGCATCAAAATTGGCAAAAATATTCTTCTTTTATTAGGTTATACGTTAAATAAAAAAAAACTCAAGAAATATTTTATGAAAGTAGATATAATTTAAATAATTGAAAGGTGTGGAAGGGACAAAAAAATGATTTATCTTGTCCCGTCCATCCCTGTCAATTATTGAAATTATCTCTACTTTTATAAAATATTTCTTGCGATTTTTTTTTATTTAATGTATACCCTAATAATAGAAGAATTTTTTTGACAATTTTGATGCAAAAATAATATATAATAAATTAGCTACATTTTTTTTTTATAAAAACAGTTTTGTGATTTGTCCCGTCCATCCGCTTGAAATGGCCGATGAGACAAAAAAATCAAGAATTTTTTTATTGAATTGTAGGTTTTTAAATTCAAATTAATATAAAAAAATTGAGGAGCTAGAAAAAAAATATATACATAGTTTTTATTAAAATGGAAGATATTTAAATACAAATTAATTTCAAATATCATTTTAAAAATATTTTTTAAAAGCGGTGTTGAAAAAAACATGAAGAGCCTGTTGTTTTTCCAAAAATTAACCAAATAACATTTTTATCTATTTTTGTTTTTAAATGTTTCCAAAAAAAAATATATAAAAAAATTTTGAACCATATTCTATTATTATCTACTTCTAGGTCTACTTTTTTGCTATTTACATCCTTAAAAATACCCAGAGGTATTATGAGAAATAGTTAAAAGAAATAAATTTTTCAATTGAAAAAAGAAAGAGAAGACAATTTCAGAAAATAAAAAAAAATAAAAATGACATTCATTTTCGGTTTTTTTGGCGAAAATAAAAAAAAACGTTGAATATCGGTGCGAATATTTTTTTTATATTTTTCTGAAAAGTAAATTTAAAATCAAAAAAAATTTAAAAAGAAAACGTCCAGATAAGTCAAATTTTGAAAAATGGCAATCAATATCTTAACATTATTTTAATTTAAAAAAATATCCTTTATTACAGACAAAAAATTAAACTTAATTGAATTAAATGGATTTAAGAAAATAAAAGTAAATGTTAATGAAAATATCCAATTACAAAATAATGAATTTTTAAATTACAAAATTATAATTTTATAAATCGAAGTGTCAAATAAAACGAAAGTTATGTTAATACAGCAACAAATGTTTTTTAATAAAATAAATAATTATAATTATATTATTATATATAAGTTATGTTAATACAGCAACAAATGTTTTTTAATAAAATAAATAATTATAATTATCATAATATAATATAATCAACGTCGGAAATTCACTTTTTTCTCGATATAAGTGTATGGATATTATCCGTAAAAATTTACTTTCGCATTACCCTTTGAATAAAATGAAAAAAATTCAAAAGTCTATTTTTCTGAAAATTTCCCAATTTTTCAAAAAAAAAAGTTTTTTTCCCCTGGCTTATTTTTTCCGGAAATTTTAAAACGCTATAACCAAGATGAAAATAACAGAATATTGTTTAAAAAATCGTATTTAAAATTTTTAGTGGAGGCCTTCAACCAGGCGACATAGTCACCCACATAGATGGTAAAATGGTGCAAGGGGCCCAAGATGTTTACTCAATCTTAAGCAACGATAAATCCAAAACCCTAAAAATGTTAATAACCAGGGAAGGCACAAAGAGGGAAGTTGTTGTAACTCCAGAAGTTGTCAGTTAATAATTTACTTAATTTATATTATTTGTAAATAAAACGCTTTATTGTTTTTTGTAAAATTTATTCTTAAAACTACTTTTTCCTCCTCGACTTTACCTCTGTCCACTCGTCTTGTTCCATTGGAGTTTGTTTTGATCCTCCTGCCTCATCATCATCACTTGAAGAACTTTCATTAACCTAAAAATGTGGAATGTGTATTTCTATTTCCTTGTGTTGGTAAGACTAATAGTAGAGAAGTGCATTAATAATAAATAGTAAATAAAAAACATACAGGAACTTCTTGGTTAACTTGTGGTTGACTTAAGCTCAGCCATTCCTGATTTGAAGTGGGTAGTTTCTTATATTCCTCTTCTAATTGTTCCATTGTCCCTTGCTGCAGTATTTGCAAGAATTTAAACAATATATGCGCAATTTCTACAATAAATACAACTTATAACTCCCCTATAAACAATTTTCATTGCATTACCTTTCGGAGAGTCATCTTCACAAATCATGTCAAACTCTTGATCTAAAACGTCTTCCAAAGCATCTTGAATATCTTCAACTTGCACGTTTTGCTCGTACAAACAAAACTGCACCATGTAATTCAAACATTCTACCGCTGTCTACAAAATATCGAATAAATTCTTCACATTGTAGATTTACCGATTTACCTACTTGCTTACTGTTCGCACCGCCCATAGAATGTTCCACAGCGAGTTTTAAGGCAGTCCAGTTGTTGAAAACATGCTGAACGATTCTTGTGAAGTGCTCTTCCATTATTTATTTGATTACTTTGCGAGGGATATTGACAACACGTGCGAGCAACATTTTGAAAGGGAGCTGTCAGTTTATTAAGTTGGTATAAGTTAAAATTGAGAAATTACCAGTGATACCAACCTTAGAAGAGTAGATTTACTACGCAAGGCTTGTTCCAAGAAATTAATTTGTTTTAATACAAATTCTACGATATATAATTCTGCTTATTGATTGTTTATCTATTCCTATTTCATAATATTGGGTTTTTACCGTGAATAATGATAAACATTATAAATTCCCTGCCTAATAAGGTAAAAAGTGCGGTTAACCATTTGACAGATGTCAGATTTTATTTATTTATTTTTGAAAGAAATTTAATTATCTACTCATTGGGGTAGATAAAGTATAGTATTACACTCGATATTACGCGCATTATCCCTCGTAAAAAGTTATCTTTTTTTTTGTGATATTTGCATTTAAAGGGATTTTTAAAAAAAATTGTCATGTTTATTTTTGTATAAAGTATTGTTTAAATAGATTTTTTCTACTCCCACCTTTAAAACGCCCATTATCCATATTCCATGACACTAACTGGCAAGTTGTACAACGTGCCACGTGGCTTTATGGCGTTTTAGTCACGGGCTGAAGTTGGCAACAGGTTTTATTTAGTTGACAGTTGTCAAATATCATACAAAAAAAGTGCATTTCTTTTAAAATAATACTAAATGTGAAAATTATTTTATTATCTCAATACAAAAATATTAAATAATTTCTTGACACCAATATTTTAAAAGATTATATGAACGCTTGTACTGACGTTTTGATTTCGCTGTAGAAGTGCAGTTAATTAGATTTAAGTTTTAAATTTATTAGTTAAATCTAGTTCACGCTTAAGCCTTAAAAATTTTGCGTACCGACAGTGCCCATAAAACATTCTCTTCCCTTTTAATGCTTCTATATCGATTGTCAGTCTATTTTCAAGGGATAAATTTTGATTTACAAAGAAAAATTTGGGATTTTAACGCCGGTAGATTCCCAAGTTAGAAATTCTAACGGGAATTCCAATAAATACAACTGTCACTTTTTGTACCTTTAACATTTCCCGTGTAAGAATTTTTAATATTAATACTAATATTTTGCAATTATTGTAATAAAGGAAAAATATTTTCTTGGCATATCATATTTTGAAGTTATTTTAATTTTTTAAAGTGTCAATAGTTGTTAAGTTTAATTAAAATAATAACGGGCAATGTTAATAGTGAAAATTACGTCAAAAATGTTTATTGGGATGGTTACTTTATTTTCGTATAGATGTCGCTTTATACAAATATTTAATTTAAATATTTTTTTTAGATAATATTTATAAACTTTTCTAGGAACTCATTTAAATTAAATTCGTGTTTAAAATGGCGTTTATCAAATTTGATACACAATATACATTTTACAGATTTTATTCTTGATTTAAAACCGCAGAATATTTACTTACCCACTTTAAATTTTTCCCTCATGTAATTTTCATTACCTGTAATTTATGTTGTTGATAAATTTGATATTTGACCTATATAATTAATAAAACGCTGGATTTGTTGTTTTTACTTAATTTATTTTATATAGATAAAAATAAAGACAGACAAATTCCTTAAAATTTTGTACAAAAAGCAACATAGTAATAAATGATTAAAATATTAGTAGTTATTTATACAAGTGAATCCATAATAAAGTAATTCCTAAACTTAAATAATAATATTCATACTATTTCATATTTATCTGGGAACAATGCAGTTTCAGCGGTATATTTTACAGGAGAATCGTCGTCCACCAACAGAACATCAGTAATCTACCAAAAAAAAAGATAATCAGTGACGTCAGGGACTTAGGCGGGGTTGCCGGTGTTACCTTAATACTGGCGTACGACGATTTGGAATTGAACGTGACGGACAACGGGAAAAAGTCGCTCGGTATGGCTTTCGGCGCGTTAAACTCCAGTGCCCCTGTTTTATTACTTGCATCGACTATTGGCAGGTTCCACACCAGCTGGTTGCGCCTGGACTCGTGGGTGTAAGTACCGTCGCACTCTCCCACCACTGGGGAGCAGCCAATGCTGAAGAAAAACACGAAAATTCCCTATATTTTTGACAATACTTTTTATGCCTATTGTAGATACCATTTTATTTTTATATATATTTTTATATACCATTTTATTTTATTTGTATATACACATTTTCAAAAGCGGCGTTGAAAAAAAACATGAAACGATTTACATCACAAACTCACCACTTTCAATTTTTTAAAAGCCTGTTGTTTTTCTAAAAATTAACCAAATAACATTTTTTATCTTTTGTACTTTCCAAAAAAATTTATATAAAAAAAATTCACATTTTTATCTACTTCTAGGTCTACTTTTTCGAAAAATAGAGTTTTATAATATTTTTCAAACACTGAGGTTCTCTTAATATCCTCAAAAATCCCCAGAGTTATTATGAGAAATAAGCCAAGTTTTTCAATTGAAAAAAACAAATAGAAAACAAAAATTTCAGAGAATTTTCGGTTGAAATTTGGAAAATTCTGAAATCGTTTTTCATAGGGTAGAAAAAGATAAAAAAAAGTTTTAGCCAAATAGAAAGGGGTCTGGGCAAAAGTGGTCGATTTATATAAACTTTTAATTTGTGCTAGGTATAAAAAAATCAATTAATGTTTTGAAAATATGTCATTTTAGGACCTGGGTAATTTTTTTAGTTAAAATTAATTTCAAAATTCAAATTTTTTATTTGAAGACCTAAAAAAACAGAAAAAATGAAGAATTTTTTTAAATTCGAATTAATATAAAAAATTTTAGGACCTAGAAAAAGATATAAAAAAATATTTAAATATTTAAATCCAAATTAATTTCAAATGTCATTTTTGAGAAATAAAATATTTTACATATTGTTAAAAAATTGTATCTTGTTTTTTAAAATTGAAAATGTCATTTCAGGCCTTGGAAAAATACATAAATAAATAAAATTACAAAAAAATTAAATAACAATTTAAGAAAATAAAAAAGGAAAAAGAATTCAAAAAATAATTTCTTTCCTGACCTAGGAGAAAGAAAATTAAAAAAACGTATTTTTGTTTAAATTAAGGATTCCTAAATTTAAAATACATAATTTCAAAATTGAAATGTCATTTCAAACCTAGAAGAAAAAACATAATAAAAAAGAAATTAATTGAAGATTTTTAAATTTAAATTAATTTTAAATATCATTTTAGGACCTAGGAAAAAGGGAAAAATAACAAAAATAAAATAAAAAAACTCTAATTTAAAAATTATTAAAAAATATGATTTAAAAAAAAACAAATTTTAAAACTTTAAAACAGGAGTAAAAGTTGAAATTGAAAATTTTAACATTTTAAATTTTATTTCTGGCCCTAGACAAATAAAAATAAAAGAAATTAGTAATAAATTACTTACAACTTGGGAAAATAAAGAAAAACTAAGTAATTTTTGTTTAAATCAGAAACTTTTAAATTTAAATTACATAACATTAAAATTGAAATGTCATTTCGGGACCTAGAAGAAAGAAAAAAATAAAAAAATAGATTTTCTTTTAATTGGAGATTTTTAAATTTAAATTACCTAATTACAAATATTATTTTAGGACCTAGTAATAGGGCAAATATACCAAAAATAAAATCAAAAACTCAAAAATGTCAAAAGATAATGTCAAAAAATTGAAGATTTTAAATTTTATTTTAGGACAATATACAAAAATAAAAAAATTTTGAGCGTTTAGAAAGTTAAAAAGAATACAACTTAATGAAATAAAAAAAGTCAAAAAAAATTCCTTGCTGACCTAAGAAAAAGTAGATAAAAAAATAAACATTTTTGTGTCAAAATTGAAATATGTCATTTCAGGTTGTAGAAGAAAACAAACTAGATATCCTTTAATTTCAAATATCATTTTAGGACATAAAAAAAAATTCAAAATATGATCTAGAAAAAAAAACTAATTTCAAAACTTAAAATGTCACTTTAGGAGTAAAAGTTAAAATTGAAGATTTAAACATTTTAAATTTTATTTCTGGCCCTAGAAAAAGAAAAAAAATAAAAGAAATAGAAATAAATTGTTTACAACTTTGGAAAATAAAAAAAAATAAGTATTTTTATTTAAATCATACATTTTTAAATTTAAATTACACAATTAAAATTGAGAAGAACAAAATAAAAAAAAACTAGATTTTCTTTTAATTGATGATTTTTAAATGGAAATTAAATTTAAATATAATTTTTGCACATAGGAAAAAGGTAAATATAACAAAAATAAAATCAAAAACTCAAATTTCAGAAAATTAAAAAATAAATTAATTACAACTTAATAAAATAAAACAAAATTATTTTGTTTCAAAATTAAAATATGTCATTTCTGGTTCTGGAAGAAAACAAAATAAAAAAAATTGAATTTCTTTTAGTAGAAGATTTTTAAATTTAAATTAATTTCCAATGTTATTTTAGGACCTAGGAAAAAGGCAAAAATAACAAAGATAAAATCAAAAACTTAAAAAAAAAAATATTTAAAAATGTCATTCCGGGACCAGAGAAAAACAAATTAAAAAAAATATTTTTAACCAGATTTTTAAACTTAAATCCTGACAGACGTTATTCTGCCCGAACGTTGTCTAAAACCGGATTTAAACGCCACCTACCGGGTCCAATTGCGACTCTAAAGCGTCCAGGAACCCACCCAAAAATTTTCATCAAAATCGGTTATATTTATGACATGTAATAAATTATTTTGGAAATTTTTAAATCCATATACCTATATCTTCAGACAAAAAAAAAGTCACTTACGGCAGCGGTATGACGATGTTGACGTCGACGAGCTCCAGGTGTAGGTGCGCTAGCTCGTACTCGATGTTAACGTCGCAACTTCCGTCTCCGGCCTCGGACGGCCAGCAGTTAATGAGCAGAGGCACCAAACTCTCGTCGGTACCTTGCAGCCTCCACTTCAACACCCCCACGTCCGTGTGCAAAGGGAACGGCCTGGACGGCTGCTTCAAGCCGATCTGAAACAACGCGTGAGCAATGCGCGAACTACACTTTTCAATCGCAAATAACTTTTTTATTTGATGTCGGATTTAAACGAATAATAAAGAATATTGTAGATTAATTAATGGACAATCGCACACATTTTAAAAAATTCTAAAAAATACAAGTACGTTTATAATATACAGGGTTAAACAAAAATATGTTTTTTACCATAAGTTTAAGACACTCTGTAGAGTGGCAAAACCGTATATTGTTCTAAATTAAGTTTTATTTATCAAGTCACATCTATTCCTAACAGTTTTGTTTTTGGTTCACCTCGATATATTTATTTTTGCGGAAAATATGGATTTTTTAAAAAACATCGCAATTTCCAATATTTTTCTGTATGAAGAACTAAGGTTGCTATGGTCCATCCATAGGCTATGGAGAATGACAGTGACAGTTTTGTTGAATCATCCCATACTTGGACATGTCATACAGCTTTCAAAAGCTATCAAATTGCTTTTTGCAAATTAATGTTTAAATTTTGAGGTGTCTTCTTACTTTATAAAATGGATATGTCTCCGACTGATGTTGCCAGAGCTATTAATTTAATCCAATATGTACGGTCACAGTATTAAGTGTTTTAAACGTCATAAGAAGTAAAGTACAAAGGGCAACATCAGTCGGAGAAATTTTTTAAAAAAAGAAGACACCTCAAAATTAACACATTAATTTACAAAAAACAATTTGATAGCTTTTGAAAGCTGTAAATGACATGTCCAAGTATGGGATGATTCAACAAAACTGTCACTGTCATTCTCCATAGGCTATGGATGGACCGTAGCAAACTTAGTTCTTCTTACGGGAAAAATATTGGAAATTGCAATGTTTTTAAACAAAATCCATATTTTCCACAAAAATAAATATATCTAGGTGAACCAAAAACAAAACTGTTAAGAATAGATGTGACTTGATAAATAAAACTTAATTTAGAACAACATACGGTTTTGCCACTCTACAGAGTGTCTTAAACTTATGGTAAAAAACATATTTTTGTTTAAACCTGTATATTATAAACGTACGTCTATTTTTTTAGTAATTTTTTGAAATGTGAGCGATTGTCCATTAATTTATCTACAATATTCTTTAATATTCGTTTAAATCCGACATCAAGTAAAAAAGTTATTTGCGATTGAAATTCATCGAAAATTTGTGTGGATCGATTATTTTCCACATGAGTGTAGAAATCGCCATTGTTCGTCATACCTGCGAGCGCATCTTAAACAGCTCCTTGTCGACGTTGGGGTGCGTTTGCAGCTGCACGCCTTTGTCGTCTTTGTTGTCCAGCTGCACGCGCAGCTTGCCCCACTTCTCGTCCCCGACGTGCAACGTGGCGAGTCCCAAGAGCTCGAACTGCTGCACCCCGCCGTCGCGGCCCATCTTCACCACCAGTTTTTCCTCCAATCTCAGCAACACACTTGAGAAAGGGAACAAATATATCTAGACTAGGGTGATTCAAAAAAATCGAATACATATTTTTTTTAATTCCGACACTGAAAAATTGGTTTTAGGCACCTCTAGAAAGTGCTCTTAATAATATTATTAGGAAGATCCTCAACACAGTTTTCCATTTTTTAATTAGTCCCTTGTAAAAATTCCATATTTCGTTATTAATCAATCGTTTAATCAAATCTTTATATATGGGTGATTCTACAAAAGTTGGACAACTTGATGTCATCAGTCAATAGAGTAGGTATTTTAATATTTTTTGTAAATATTTTAGTATATTACAAAAGATCCAGGTTTTTTTAACTTGTCCACCCAATTTTAATGTATTTTTTCAAAAGCACGTTTGTAGAAAAACATAATAAATATTCAAAACATCAGTACCTTGGCGTGTCACAACTCCTGAATCAAATATTTGAGTGATTTTATTTTAAAATATATTGAATTTATCTTACATTTTTCAATTTCACTACAAACTATAAAACATTAAATAATGTATTTTTTATATTTTATCATAGATTCGCATAATAGCAATTTTTAAAAAAATGATAATCTTTGTACTCACTTTTACCCGTCAGTACAATTTTAAAATTCAAAATTCCTGCGAAATATTGAAGTTTAAACGTCAATTCCTCGATTTAACTCAAGTGTTGGTAAAAAATTACCTACAGAGCCCGCCCTTTGCACGACAGTCATCTTGAAAACAATGCAAGCGGCGAAGTTGTGGTGAATGCATGTATAGTTCCAGTCAAAATTTCAGTACTGTGATGAGGAGTTATTTTCTTAAGTATATATATTTCATTGTAATTTATATAAGGCTATATGTGATTTGTTGAAAAAAGCATCCACTAATAAAAAATATCAGTAAAATACTTAATTCCGAATTATAATCTCAAATTTGTATCCCATTCATCAGTACCATGTCGTCAGTTCGATGTTTCGGTTATCTTTTTTTCGCAAACTTCAATTTAAATTCTGCTTGCGCAGAACTTGTTTATTTAATGTCATTATAAACTCATATAAATTTGGTGTGGGTCCCATATCTAATAATTGAGATATCGGTATACCCAAAATCCATCAGCCGCCAATGATGTGTGGTATTATTTGATTTTAAGATATTTAATGTATAATATGCTCAAAGTTGCAATAAATCTTATATTTTCCAATAAATTATGTATTTAATTAGTACCCTGGTATACTCGTCACTGCCCTTGCAATCAAATTTAGAAAACACTGATATTTCGGAAACTGTTTGAAAAAGTGACTGGCTCGGTCTGGAATAGTATATTTTTTATATTATTTATGTTCTCATAACAAAATACTGTTTAATTTTCTCCGAAAACTATATAATCAAAAGGAGGTCAGAAGTTGCCCAACTTTTGTAGAATGACCCATATATTTTTGTAAGAAATTTAATGCTCTACAAAAAACGACTGATGTGTTTAAGCGATTACTCTAACCATTTAAGAGATATTTAAGATCAAAGTTTGAAGAATAAATTTAAAAAACTGCTTTTTTTAATTATTTTGAAACTCATTAAAATATAATTATTGTCAAATGAGTATGACATATTTTTGTAAGAAATTTAACACTCTACAAAAAAGGTTTGATGTGTTTAATTGATAACTCTAACCGTTAAGAAGATATTCGTATCCGAATATCGATGCGTACTGATACGAATATCTTCTCAACGGTTGGACTAATCAATTAAACACATCAGACCCTTTTTGTAGTGTTAAATTTTCTTCAAAAATATGTCACACTCATTTGACAATAATTATTTTTCAATAAGTTACAAAATTATTTAAAAAAAAAATTGTTTAATAAATTGATTATCTTTTAAAAGGTTAGATTAAACGGTTAAACACATTAATCCTTTTTTTAGATCATTAAATTTCCTACAGTGATATGTATTAAAATTGACTAATAATAAAATTTGGTCTTTTATATAAGAGACTAAAGAAAAAATGATAAACTGCGATGAGGATCTTCCTATTAATATTATGAGCTCAAATTTGGTGAGTACTTTCTAGAGGTGCCTAAGAACCAAGTTTTTAGAGTTGAAGGTAAAAAAAAATAATTGATTTTTTTAATCACCCTAATACACATAACCAAACTTATATGGAATCACCCAGCAATTACGAAAAACATTATTCCACTTAAAAAAAATGATTTTGAAATAAAAAGCACTTTATCTGAATCAATGTTATTACAAAAATAAAGAAAAAGGAATTACAAAAAATGTGAATTTCTCTGAAAATAAATTTTACAATAAATTAGAATTTAGGAAGAAATAATAGGTTTTTGTTAATTTAATAATCAGTATTTCCACCTTTAGCTGTTTCTTGTAATTACTGGATGATTCCATATAAGATTGGTTGTGTGCACTTAACACAAAAATCTTGACACTACAGATTGTAGGTAAACTATAAAAAAGTTTGAGGGATTTATAACAAAAAAGCCTACCATCTGATAAAAAATTAGATGTCAAGTAAAAGTTGATCATCATCACTTGAATGTGATGTTTCGAGGAACTTTGGAGGAGAAAAGAGTTTTATGCATAAAAAATGTCTCGAAAAAATACATGTCGACTCAAATAATGTTTAAACCTTGTTTTAAGACCATTTTAAAACGATGCTGCAGCCAAAATAAAAAAATAAAACTGACTTACTCGTCGACTTCTTGTTTGATGGCCGGCGCTTTGCTGCCGGGCTGAGAAATACTGTTTGGCGCCGGCGTTGTGACTTTTTCGCCTTCAGACTTTAACTGATCGACGAACGACTCGACGTCCCTGCCTTTGCCGCCCAACTTCATGCCCCTCGGTTTCCTTAAAACCGAAAAATCATTACTCGTTCGTTCACAAAACTGTTTTTATAAAAAAAATTGTAGGTTTTTTATTATTTTTGCATCAAAATTGTCAAATATATTCTTCTTTTATTGAGCTATACTTAAAAAAAAAAACGCAAGAAATATTTTATAAAAGTTGAGATAATTTTAATAAATGACAGGTGTGGACGGGACAAGATAATTTTTTTTGTCCCGTCCACACCTTTCAATTATTAAAATTATCTCTACTTTTATTAAAAATATTATTTGCGTTTTTTTATTTAATGTACACTCACAGGCAAAATAATCGATCCACACAAATTTTTCATGAATTTCAATCGCAAATAACTTTTTTATTTAATTTCGGATTTAAACAAATATTAAAGAATATTGTAGATACATTAACATTTTTACATTACACATTTTAAAAATTACTAAAAAATACACGTACGTTTATAATATACAGGTTTAAACAAAAATATGTTTTTTACCATAAGTTTAAGACACTCTGTAGAGTGGCAAAACCGTATATTGTTTTAAATTAAGTTTTAATTATCAAGTCGCATCTATTTTTAACAGTTTTGTTTTTGGTTCACGTTGATATATTTATTTTTGTGGAAAATATGGATTTTTTTAAAAAACATTGCAATTTCCAATATTTTTCCTGTATGAAGAACTAAGGTTGCTATGGTCCATCCATAGCATATGAAGGATGACAGTGACAGTTTTGTTGAATCATCCCATACTTGGACATGTCATATACAGCTTTCAAAAGCTATCAAATTGTTTTTTGTAAATTAATGTGTTAATTTTGAGGTGTCTTCTTACTTTTAAAAATGTCTCCGACTGATGTTGCCCTTTGTACTTTACTTCTTGTGACGTTTAAAACACTTGCCACGTAATACTGTGACCGTCCATCCTGAATTAAATCAATGGCTCTGGCAACGTCAGTCGGAGACATATCCATTTTATAAAGTAAGAAGACACCTCAAAATTTAAACATTAATTTGCAAAAAACAATTTGATAGCTTTTGAAAGCCGTGTATGACATGTCCAAGTATGGGATTCAACAAAACTGTCACTGTCATTCTCCATAGCCTATGGATGGACCATAGCAACCTTAGTTCTTCATACAGAAAAATATTGGAAATTGCAATGTTTTTTAAAAAAATCCATATTTTCCACAAAAATAAATATATCGAGGTGAACCAAAAACAAAACTGTTAAGAATAGATGTGACTTGATAAATAAAACTTAATTTAGAACAATATACGGTTTTGCCACTCTACAGAGTGTCTTAAACTTATGGTAAAAAACAACTTTTTGTTTAAACCTGTATATTATAAACGTACGTCTATTTTTTAGTATCTGTGATACAATTGCTGTGTGCAGTCCCGGTTGCATAGTATGTACCGATTGCAGCAAAGGCCACGTCGTTTGACGGTGTGGATCACCTGATGTTCTTACATCTCGCCTCTGTTGACTAAACAACCGAGCATATAAGCTGAGGGAGTAATTTGTTTTGATTGTGTTCCACTACACCAAGTTGCCCGACACTGATGAGACCCAATAAAGGTCGAAACAGCTGTCTGTCGGTATTTGAAGTTGGTGGAACGCATTCGAAACAAAAAACTTTGGCGAGGTGTAGGTTCAATTTTTTCTTATATTCTTATGAATATTACCAGTGATGGGTCAAGAAAGTTTCTTAAAGAAACTAAGAAAATTGAATGTTTACCAAAATGTGAGCGATTGTCCATTAATTTATCTACAATATTCTTTAATATTTGTTTAAATCCGAAAACAAATAAAAAAGTTATTTGCGATTGAAATTCATCGAAAATTTGTGTGGATCGATTATTTTGCCTGTGAGTGTATATGTAAAGAAGAATATTTTTGACAATTTTGATGTCAAAATATTATATAATTTTTTTTATAAAAACAGTTTTGTAATTCGTGCGTTTCGCGCGCTTGAAATGGCCGAAAACAAAAATCAACATACTGCGGATTGACGGTGGCGTAGGACGGAGGCTTGACGTCGTTGCTCGCGTTGGAAACGTCGCCGACAGATGGCGTCGGAGTGTAGGAGGAATTACCGAAGCTCGAGCCGCTTCCGAACGACGACGACGACTTGATTCCGGATTTTTTCGCGTCGATTTTCTGGCGCTGCAGCTCCTTCGCCTTCTCGCGCATCTTGTTTTTCGCTTCCCTTTCTTGCGTCTAGGCGGTAAAAAAGATTGCGTGAAAAAATTGCAGACTTGCGGGGTTCGTTTTACCTGTCTGACGGCTTGGTAGACTTTCTCTTCGTGCGAGTCCATCTCGACGAAAGTACGGATTTGCGACAAGTTAACGCTTTCTCTATAACCTAAAGCTACTATTTCATCGAAAGCAAAAATCAAAGAAAATGCGTTATCGGCTATCTCGCTTTCTTCAAGCGAATTGCAGTACTCTGGAATCTAAAAGAAGTATGCCTTGATGATTTTTATTTCCTATTATATAATTTAATATTAAAATAACATTGTTAAAATAGTTATTTTTGTCATTAGGTTAAGAAGTAAGGCTTTTTCTGCTAAACTCAAGGTTTGAAGGCCGACGCGTAGCGGAGACCTACAATTGAGCGAAGCACAAAAAGGCACTTCTTGGCCGAATGGCATACAACATTTTATCTTTAAAGCACTTTATATAGGTCAATTGAATTCAACATTAAAGCAGCCTAACCTAACTTTTTTAGAATCTCATTTATTTATTAGCTAAAGATTACATTAAATGTACAATAATTATTATTGCTTTTAGAAGCAGTAATAGTTTGACAATACCTAGCAACATGATTTAAGTAGAAATGGATTTTTGCTATTACATTGAATTCAATTAATTGTTTAATTAATAGGTAGGTATCTAATTTCAATTTGTTTGGAGTTTTATTTAAAAAATAGGTAGTTTGGAATGTTTAAGCTGTGTTTAACATTTAATTTCGCTGAAAACTTAAAGCAAATTAAAACTTAAAGATAATTTAAATCGTAGAAAAAAAATCGTGGGTTTTCTTGGTTGCCTAACCTCACTTTTTGTTTTATTATTCATATTAAATTTTACAATAATTTAATGAAAAATATTAAACATTAAAAGAAAAACAAACAAATTAGTGCTTATTATAAATAAATTAAACCAGTTTAGTACGTTAATTTCTTAGAAAAGGATTAATTTGTCAAAACAATACCCCTAGCGAGAAAAAATCGAACTAATTACTTGCCTCATAAAATTTTTTATCGGCCTAGGCCATAACAAGGTATTTCTTTATCGAATGTTGACATCAATAAAGTTTCAATTATAGACCGCGTGGAGATAAAAGTATTTTTTAAGTTATGAAGCATTTAAATTAAAAAAACTTGGCAACGAGGTGTCTCTAATAAGCAGACTTAACATCTTAAAATGGTTGTCATAGAAACAATTTAAATAAGGCAGGATTTACAGATGTATCAAAACTTAAATCATAATAACAAATTTTTTAATTTTAATTTTTGAAACCTCATTGATTGCAACTATTACATTTTATCCCTTAATATAAATAAGTGTTCTTAAAAACTTAATAAAAACAATAACATAAATAGTAAAATACAAGTTTTTTTATATAACTATAACGCAGATTGAATCAGCTTTTATTAGAAATTTAATTTGAAAATATAGCCTGATTTATAGATTGCCTTTCTTCCTTCCTTCCTTTCTCCCGTAAAATATTAACAATACGAAAACCGTAGTGGTGTTTATAGATTACCGTACGGGAATCTATAAACAGCACTGCGGTTTTCGTATTGTTTATCTTTTACGGGAGGAAGGAAGGAAGGAAGGCAATCTATCTATAAATCAGGCTTTATAAATAATTTATACATCGTAAATTAGGGTTATGTCAATATACTCCATGACAGTTTTGAAATTTGACATTTTTATAAAGTTTCTTAAATTTAACAATATGAACAAATGAATTTTTTTAATAAATTACATATTACTGCTTGACACTTGATACAAAAATGAGGTTATGTACTTGTCCAAGCTATGACATAGTTGTCAGATGTATTTTAGTTTGTTTTCAATATAATTTTTATTTTTGAAACGTCATTGGAAAATTGTTTTTTATCCTTTAATATAAATAAATGTTCTTAACAATTTAATAAAAACAATAACATAAATAAAATGCAAGTTTTTTAATTAAATTATTGTCAGATTCGTTCTGTAATATTTATTTCAAATTTGAAAATCTCTGCTTTTGCGGTCACTATGTGACGCCACTTTCAAATTTAAAGCAACGTTGCCAGATATAAAATATGAATAAAATAATTAACTTAAATATAACGCAGATTAATTCACTTCCTATTAGAAATTTAATTTTAAAATATAGGAAGGTAGGTATGTTTAATTTAAACAAAAATTTGTTATTTTATTGTTAGGTATACATAATTTATATTAGTGATGTAATTTTAAATCTGACAAAATTGTAAATTAGGGTTCTGTCAATGAAATGACAGTTTTGAAATTTGACATTTTTAATTAACCAAGTGGATTTTTTTAATACATTTAATATTACTCCTTGACACTTGATACAAAAATGAGGTTATGTACTGTCAAAGCTGACAGATGTCAGATGTATTTTACTTTGTTTTCAATATAATTATAAGCATTGTAATTAATGCAGACAAATGTATTAAAAATGTAAAAATGAGCTTTAAAATCAATAATTTGTATGGATATTACTTTTTGTTTACTTTTGTATTTATGTATTTAATTGATTTTTGAATGAACCTCCAATTCTAATTTTAATTCCAACTTTAATAAAACCATTGACTCACTTAAATATTTTAAACCCAAGCAATAAAACAGACAACAGATCTACTTTATAATTAAATCAATCCAAACATCTGTATGAATAATAAAAAACACAAATCCAATTTTAATTACATACATGTCCTACAAGATAATAATGCATTTATTATTATTTTATGTACTTACCACCCTGGCAAACAAGCGTAGAGTTTCCAAATCCTCCAATATATTACTTGCCCTGGTTGTAATAAGTAACATGTAGAGCCGTTCAAGAGGCTGATAAACATATCTGACGGAATCTGTTTCGACAAATGTGTGCTGTGTACCGGTTGGTATTAATTTGGGGAAAGCAGCCAACAACCCCTCTATTCGAGCTTTGGTCATTTCAACAAATTGTCGGGACACAAGGGCTAAAATAATGTAAACAATATTATTGAATTCTGCCACAAATTCGATTTAAACTCACTTTTGCCTGCTTTGGTGCAGACAGCAGCTGCTATGAGCACCTAAAAACAGAAAATATCGTCTTGTTGTCCCAGTTAACACATACTTAACCAATTCTTTCGATAATTCGCTTGGTTTTCACCCTCATTTCGAGGTTATAAGAGAGGTAACTTACCATGTTTGCGTTTATTAAGAGTTCAGAGTTGTTAAGGTTTTATTATTTTAGTATTTTACAAAACATTACACCCAAGTAAATTGCAAGATGACGTTGACGTGTGCGGTGCGAGAAAAAGTGACGTGACGTTTGCAGTGCTGGCAACTTGAACGTCAAAAGTCCCCGGGATATTTGAATTTGTGGTTCCAATTGAAATCTTTCGCATCTTGTTTGTATATTTTTATTTTAACATTTGAAACAATTATTTTCTATAATTGTATGATTAATTAGGATTTTTCTGCTTCAGCTGTTTAAACTAAGAATATTAATGTTAAAACAATTCCAATGTTTGGCAAACATGTATAAATGTCAAAGTTTGACATTTAAGTTTATTTTTCAATTGTGATCAAGATAGTCAAAAACAAAGGGTCTTTCCATTTCAAAACGACCGGTACGCGCAGGTCATGATTTTCTTTTTCTATGAAACTTAAATATGTTGTTTTTTGGTCAAAATAATGAGACACGTATTTTTTTGTTTGGCGAAAAAAATTTTTTTTTGTTGATTTTTGGCGATTTATTTTTTGCGGTAAAAATCGATTTTTTCCGTTGACAGAAAAAGCTTTTTTTTTAATTGCGTATAACTTGTTCAAAAATTGACCGATTTTGACAATTGAACTTGCAAAATGCTTGTACTTATTAACACTTTCCATTAAAAGTAACAAAAATTTTAAATTCATTGTGATAATTTTTTTATACGATAAAAAACGAAAAGTACGGAATTTTTTCAAAATTTAATTTTTCAAAAAGTGTATTTTTTATTTTTTTTATTTTTTTTTATCAAAAAGTAGACAGTCCAAACTGCATTTTGGCTAAGGGACTGTTAGCCAAAACTTTTCGTTAAGAAGATATGATTTTTTTTTCAAATTTAATTTTTTTCCTTAACGATCGCATGCTCTAAATAAATTTTATTTTTAAAGTAAGTTTTATTTGTAATAGCAAACAAATAGGATTGGAATTTAAAGTTCATAATCGTTTTAAGTGAAAAAACTTGCTGAATTATTTTGTTTAAAATCAAATTTTCAAGGCATAAAGGGATTGGTTTGGGTGGAGAAGATTTAGTACATAAGTGCCATCTTGGTTTAGTTCTACTAAACCAAGATTGCCATGATCCTTATAGAATTATTGTTTGACGGATTGTTGTGTCATAACCTCATTTCATTGACTGTTTCAAGTCGTGACTTGTTAAATATATAAAACCTGAAAATAACAAGAATCCATTAATTCCTCCCGTACAATACTTGAAGATTCCATGTAACTTATAATTGCAGATGCAAAAAATAAGGCTAAGACTTTTTTAATGCGTAGATGTTTAAGGTCTAAATAGTTCATGACATCTAATTATCATCTTATTTTTTTTATTAAAGTTGTACATATCAATAATCTTTTGTAACTGATTGCTAGAGTCTAGTTATGGTCATAGGGAATTTCCGAGTATTAAGTATATAACCTGCCTCTCAAGTCTAGCAGCTAGACTTGAGAGGCAGGTAATATACTTAATACTCGGAAATTCCCTATGACCATACATATATTGTATTATTTTTAGAAAATAGTACACATTTCAGATGAAGAACAAATATATTTTTGAAGGCCCTGTGCAATTTATTAAGTTCTCATGATTTGAATATTTGATATAGATAATAAGATGATTAGATGATAATTAGATGTCATGAACTATTTAGACCTCAAAAATCTAGGCATTAAAAAAGTCTTAGCCTTAGTTAAATAATAAACAAAGGGAATTTCTTAGTATTAAGTAAGTATATTACCTGTCTCTCAAGTTTTGCAATCAGTTACAAAGATTAATGACATGTACAACTTTAATAAAAAAAAAAGATGATTACATGATAATTAGATGTCATGAACTATTTAGACCTCAAAAATCTAGGCATTAAAAAAGCATTAAAAAAGTTGTATAATCTGTGTAAAAAAGTCTTAGCCTTAGTTAAATAATAAACATAGGGAATTTCCGAGTATTAGGTAAATATATTACCATTATATACACCCTATTATATCTAGGCAAAGTATAAATAAAATATTATTATATTATTATTATCAAGTCTAGCAATCAGTTACCAAGATTAATGATATATACAACTTTAATAAAAAACAATGCGTTATAGTCGTTCAGTATTTTTTGCATCTGCAATTATAAGCGTAGAACAACTTACAAGGAATCTACAAATATTGTACGGGAGCAATTAATGGATTCTTGTTATTTTCAGGTTTTATATATTTAACATGTCACGACTTGACACAGTAAATTAAATGAGGTTATGACACAACAATCCGTCAAACAATAATTCTATAAGGATCATGGTAATCTTGGTTTAGTAGAACTAAACCAAGATGGCACTAATGTACTAAATCATGTATTTCGGCTTAAAAATTTGATTTTAAACAAAATAATTTACCAAGTTTTTTCACTTAAAACGATTATATCACAATGAACATTAAATTCCAATCTTATTTGTTTGCTATTACACATAAAACTTAATTTAAAAATAAAACTTATTTAGCAGCACGCGATCGTTAGGGAAAAAAATAGAATTTGAAAAAAAATTCATATCTTCTTAACGAAAAGTTTTGGCTAACAGTCCCTTAGTCAAAATGCAGTTTGGACTGTCTACTTTTTGATAAAAAAAAAATAAAAAAATAAAAAATACACTTTTTGAAAAATGAAATTTTGAAAAAATTCCGTACTTTTCGTTTTTTATCGTATAAAAAAATTATCACAATGAATTTAAAATTTTTGTTACTTTTAATGGAAAGTGTTAATAAGTACAAGCATTTTGCAAGTTCAATTGTCAAAATCGGTCAATTTTTGAACAAGTTATACGCAATTAAAAAAAAAGCTTTTTCGGTCAACGGAAAAAATCGATTTTTACCGCAAAAAATAAATCGCCAAAAATCAACAAAAAAAATTTTTTTTCGCCAAACAAAAAAATACGTGTCCCATTATTTTGACCAAAAAACAACATATTTAAGTTTTATAGAAAAAGAAAATCATGACCTGCGCGTACCGGTCGTTTTGAAATGGAAAGACCCAAAGAAGAATGGTAAAAAAATACTGGATAAACTACTGGATAAAATAATACACAAACTATCTTTATATAAATTATTACATTAATTATAAATTAGGTAATTAGTTAATAATGGGTACCCTAATTTGACTGTTATTTGGTTTATAAATTCTATTTTTGTGTAACAGGCGGCATCGATTACACAAAATTGTTTACCTCTACTGTGTACAAATTACTGGATAATTTACGAGCAATTTTTTAGCTGTGTATAAGCAAAAATGTCTGTTTTAGGCATTGTGTTTTTGATAATTTCGCCATAGGTGTTGCCTGGCTGAAAATGCATTGTAAGGTAAAAATTTAATTTATTTTTTAATACAATACAATACAGTACAATTTACTTAAGTAAAATAAACGATTGGTAATACTTTTTTAATTGCTTTATTTGGTGTGGGTAATTAATATTAAAACGCATTGTTAGGATTATGACCATAGATAATAAAAAAATTATGATACGGAAGTGTTCAAATGTAAATAAAATTCAAGTCCACTACTGTACACTGTATAATAACATAGCGATAAAATAGGTTAGGTTATCTATTATTTACAACTTTTATTGTACTTTTATACAGTATTCAGACTTTACATTAAAAAAGTAGTGTTTAACATAAAAAATATTATGAATTAAGGTAAATACGCTTTTTTTATAACCTGATACACCTGTAGGTATATAAAATTAATTTATTCATGATTTTTTAGATGCTATTTATAAACCTATTGTTTTTATTGCTACTTCTTGTAATACGTTGCGATTTGGGCAAAGCAGCGAATATTACGAAACTCTGTTTAAAAGATAATTTTTACCAACAACCTGTTGAGAGTTGCCCGCCACCTACCAGTACATGCCATTGCAAAACCTTTACGGAATGTCCCGGGGTAATGTTATGCTGTAATGTGACAAGTTTTATATTTATCGAAGGGATTAGGTGTGGTAGAGCGGAAAATAATGCCACAATAAATAATTTGCAAATTCGTAATGCCACCATGGAAATTTTAAATTTGAATTCCTATTCAAACTTGTTGATTGGGTTGGATTATTTGTCGATTACTGATGGAAATATAACAAATATAAAAGGATACTTTGCTAAGAATACTAAAATCACTTTCCTTAATTTTTCTTCCAATGGTATAAAGGAATTTGACAGTAGATCATTGTCAAATTTGTTTAAGTTGGAGTATTTGGATTTGTCGGACAATAAATTGGTTAATATTCCGCCCTTTAAAAAGGATGGATTAATTAGATTGGATATTTCAGGTAAGATTTTCTTAAAACAGTTACCTTATGAAAATTGCAAGATTTGAATATTGAAGTAGGGAATGCAGTCAAAACTAAGGTTATGTATATGTCAGTTTAACTCTAATTAAATACATTTTTGTTGTTTGCAATATAATAAGCAATAATTTAATTTTATATAAAGTGTGTTTCTAGGTAACCCATCAATTTATTGCAAATCAGTGATTGAAAATCTAAACAGGACCAATTTGGAGTTTATAAAAGAGAATAATACATTTTGTTCATCGGATGCCATATTCGACGATGTTTGGTTTAATAATGTTGAAATAATATCTCTAACAACATGTAAAGAATGGCATAAAGTTACTGTAAGCGACAAACCAATAACATGACAAATATTTGGTGAATTTTTCGTTTTTGTTTTAGGTGGAAAATAATTGTTTCAAAAACTGCACATGCACAACAAAAATTCTAAAATATCCAGCCACAACTACAGTTGATGTTTATGTTTCTCTAAGTTGTGCAGGACAGGAATTTTTATCGTTGCCTACACCTTTACCTGCTAAAACATTTTCTCTTAATGTTTCAAATAACAATGTGAGTAATTTTTTTTATTTTAATGTTTTGAGAATATTTATAAAAAAAATTTGAAAGTGGGAAAAATTAAACAAGGTTTTTCCTTACTTTTTACTACCCTAAAGGTATCTACTTCCAAAAATTCAGATTTTTAAATTAATTTAAAAAATATATAAACAAACTCTAAAAAGTAGGAAAAACTCATATAGGTAATTTAAAAAAAATTCAAACAAGGTTTTTTTTAATATTCTGAAGATCCTTTCAAAGTTTCAGATTTTTAAATTAATTTTTTTTCTTACTTTAGGTAGGTACTCCCAAAAATTCAGATTTGTAAATTAGTTTTTAACCTGAGACTCGACCACTTTTAATAAAAAAAATTAGAACAAATTCTAAAAAAGTCATAATTTAAAAAAAAATCAAATGAGGTTTTAGATTTTTAAAGAAATTTGTAACTGAAAAAACTTGTGAATGTGAACAGCAGGGTTGCCAGTTCGGTTTTCATTCCTTCAGTAAATATGTAGCCAAAAATTCAGTAGATTTCAGTAGACTTATTTTTTCCTCTACAAATTTCAGAAAAGGGTACTAAAATAAAACTATATCGTCGAAAAAATATGTATTTATTTATAAATGAAAAAAAGTCACCAAGGGTAACAAAATAGCAACAAAAAATGTGTAATAACCTCGATTATAACCAAACATTTTCATTTAAAAAAAATAAAATAAACATTCCTTCGAATTCCGATGCTCCGATGTTAAACATATTTATTTTTTTCTTTGACGGACCGGAACCTTCATTTTCAGAGTTATAGTCCTCACTTGAACTAAAAGATAATACGGTATACCTACCTATTTAAAATTACATAAGTGCACTTACCTCATATTTTTGCAACTGCACAATAAAAAAAATAAATATGTAATTAAAAATAAAATATTAATTATTATAATTCAATAAACCGAATTTATTATAAACGGAAACAAAGTCCCCGTCCCCATGGTCTTTCACATAACCTCTACTCATTGACATAATTCCCCCGTAATCCCCGACGGGGATTCCCCGAGGCCCGTGGTCAGTATTACCAACATATCAAGCGCTAAGACGCGTTATAATTTTATATAGTGCTTGTAAATGTATTTAAATAGAGCGTTCGGAATTTAATGCAAGATAAATGTAAGTGATATATTATTGATAACCATAATAAATAAACCTCATATTTTTTTTCAGTAGATTACAACATTTTTCAGTAGATCAGTAGATTAATCAGCAAATCAGTAGATCTACTGAAAAATCAGTAGAACTGGCAACCCTGGTGAACAGACAAAAATGTTCATATACTTATATGAAAATGTTTTATGGTGGCGCCATCTATCGATGATTATTAAAAGCTTTTAATAAGAGGTCGCTTTTAATATTGTCTGATTTATTGATAATTATTTCAAAAAATCATAAAATAAATGATTATAATAAGGTTCAAAAAGTGTTATTTTCTCCTTGTCTGCCCTTGTCTTAATTTTGGTTAGTTAGATTGGAAAAAAATAATAATTTTTTAGTTAAAAAAAGAAATACACTCACAGGCAAAATAATCGATCCACACAAATTTTCGATGAATTTCAATCGCAAATAACTTTTTTATTTGATGTCGGATTTAAACGAATATTAAAGAATATTGTAGATACATTTATGGAGTAAATATTTAAAATGATTCTCCTTTAATGTATCTACAATATTCATTATTATCGGTTAAATCCGAAATCAAATAAAAAAGTTATAAGAAAAAAATAAAAATTAAAAATGATGAACTTTTTTTCCGAAAAACTAAAAAATTTCATTTAATCTGACTTTAAATATTTTGTTTATAATTTTAATTAAAATGTAGGTACGTTTAAAATAAAAAAAATTAAAAAAGGTGTACTAAAAAAGTCTGAAAATAGAATTTTTCAGTTTCATAAAAACATGTGGCATTTCTTTGTAGATAACAACCTTAAAAGGATTAAACGATCCATCCTATCAGTACCTCAAATTTCTGTATGCTGACAACAACCAAATATCATCCATTCAGCCTTTGGAGGGTTCAAAATTCATAACAGATTTTGATCATTTGAGTTTAAAGAACAACAGCTTCAAAACAGTAAGAAAAATCCCATACTTTATATGGTACAATTTAATAATATTTCACGATATGTTTTATTGTTTATTTTTAGTTTGAAACTTACGTGTTGTCCAACATAGAGTTTGACCGCAGCACGCAACGGCAACAGCTCAATATAAGCGGCAACAGTGTTTATTGCGACTGCCAGACTGCCAAAGATTTAAAGGTAAAAGTTTATTTCATTTAATAAAACGTTTTTATTTATTATAAAAAATGCGAAAGTGTGTTTGCCGGGTTTTTATTTTATACGCTTTTAATATTGACTTTATTACTAAATTATTGGTAAAAAACGGTAAAAATTAATTTTGATCAAAATTGTTTGTTGTGTTAAATGAATGGGTTAAGCAGCATCGGAAATTTTTTTGTTCAAAATTGTTTTTAGGCTATAAATTAACAATTAAAACGATACCCAAGTGAAAACAACCAACCTTATATTTCCTCATACTAAATCTTGACACTACAGATTGTAACTATAAAAAAGGTTTAAGAAGCTCCATCTATCAGGATTTATAACAAACAAAACCCTACCATCTGATTAAAAATTAAGTGTCAAGTAAAACTTGATCATCATCACTAGAATGTAGTGTTTCGAGGGCTCGGAAAAAAAACTAGGAACTTTTTAGTTGTAAAAACTACACAGTGCGACGTTGCCAATGTTTGTCCGCTTTGTAGGTTTGGTTGTTGAGTAAATCGTCTCACATAGGCGACTACAACGAGGTTCGCTGCGAAAATCTCAACCAAAAAGTAATCGAACTGAACACTTCGAAGCTTTGCGTGAACAGTCAGCAAGACTGGACCGACTACATCTACTACATCATCACCGCAGAGGTGGTTATGTTGGTGTGCCTTGTTGCCAAAGTGACCTACGATTACTGGGTGTTCAAAACGGCGGGGTATTTACCTTGGCCGGCAAACAAGATGCCCAAGTTGCCCTGCGATTGGTTATGCGAGTAGGGTGTATGTAGGAATAGACTGGGCCAAAAAAATCGATTATTTTTTTTTTGTAAAGTATATCGAAAATATTGTTTGAGGTGACAAAAAAAATTATGGTGAAAGTTTGAGTCCATAATATTAATATTAAGAGGTCTATCATCGCATCGCGAGTTTTGTCTCAGAACTCCCAAACCATTGAGTTTAACAAAATTGACTTAAGAATATTTTTTGAACAAAATTGAATGCTCTACAAAAAAGGTTTTATTGGAATTTCCCGTCAGATGAACCGTTTTCTTACAATCATGCCTTAAAAATTGGTATAGTTTTACAATTTAATATTTTAACTTTGGAATTTTCTAATTCGTGTAAAAATCAGTACCCGGAAAAAAACCGATAGATATTCTTATGGGAAATCAAATGCCCCGCAAAAAGTCTCCTAAAATGTTTGGCTAAATTCACTCCATCAAAAGTTATTCAGTCAAAACGAAATTCTTGTTTTTTTCCTCTGTAGATTAATTTTTTTAAGGATCATAATTTGATTTTTTCTTTTTAAATGTGTATGTAAAATAACTTCTTAAAAATTAGAATGTGTTATTTTTTTTTAATTTTCAGTAATTTTATCAATAACATTAAATGTAAAACTATACCAATTTTTAAGGCATGATTTTAGGGAAACGGTTTATCTGACGAAAAATTTCATTCTAACCTTTTTTGTAGAGCATTCAATTTCCTTAAAAACATATTTTCGAGTCAATTTTGTTAAACTCAATGGTTTGGGAGTTCTGAGACAAAAACTCGCTTTGAAAAAAAAATTAAAATTGCGATGATAGACCTCTTAATATTAATATTATGGACTCAAACTTTCACAATAATTTTTTTTGTCACCCCAAACCATATTTTCGAAATAGTCGATTTTTTGGCCCAGTCTAATGTAGTAAGGCCAAGCTATATGGTTGTGAGCGTTTTCTTATACGTAAAAAATAACTGGTACAGGATGTATGTATTTTTAAATTAACGCTTTTTTAAATCTCATAGATAAATCTAACTGTACATACTGATAACAAAAAGAATAACTTTAGCTCTCATACCTGTCATATTTTTAATCTGTAACGAAAAGTCTGAATGTACAAATTCTAACTGAGTACCTTTTATGTTGCTCACAATATTAGATGTTAATTTCTTGCCTAAATTAATGTTATGCTTCGAAATATTTCACAGAGAAGCTAGAAGCAATATTTTCTACTTAATTTCTGAGATGGAGGATTATTTTTTCAAGAAGTTAATATATTTAACTTAAAAAACCATCTCAAAAACGAAGTGAGATTGTTTTTCTTCTCTAAAGATATTAACGTGCGGTACATTTTTACCCATAGTGCCTATTGTCAAAGTTGCTAAAACTTTTATTTGGTTTTAATGCTACCCCACAATGAAATCGAATTTTAACAAGCTGTAATGGTAGACATAATAGGACTTCTTTATTCATTTTATTTGGCAATAAGCACCTTTTGTTATTGCCTTTTGCATAATGTATATTACATTTATAATCTCAATCTTCCAAATTAACAGATTAACCCCAAAATAATTTTAACAAAAAGTTGTTTTCTATGGATATTATTTGACTATAGTATGTGTTCATTTATTTATAAAATTGGTTATACCAAAGACAATCTCTATTGTGGACTTATAAAACAACATTTGTAAACATATTCATGCTTACAGGGGCATGTAAATATTATTTTTTCATTTGCTCAAAATAAAATGGAATATTTAGGTTGTGTTAAAGATTGACAAGATATTTTTGGATGTGCCTTATATGTGTGCCTGAAATATTTCTTATAAAATATATGTTTACTCTGCTAGTCTATGCAATCTTGTCAATCTTCTATTCTTAGTCATTTTAGGTTATACTTATAAAAAAATAATATTAGTAATGAAATAAATACTATGACAAAAATATGTGCCTTTATCAAAATTTATGCAAAAAAATATTTTATACTATTATTATACTAAATTTAATGTTATTCAAGTATATATTTTTTATAAAATCATTAAAAGGTTTATTTACAAAATTGTTGTATTAATTTTTTATTAAATTAAGTGTATGTATCATGTGATAATTATATGTAATTTAATTCAAAAACTGCGTTTTATTACTTTATATTTAACATAAAAATTAGTAATAAAATTTAAGTGTTATGTCGAATTCGTGAATTTAAAAACTTCCGGGAGTAAAAATGTTTGCTACCTATTATTTTTTCAGTCAAGTTCAAGTACCTATTTTTTATTACATAATGCTAACAGAATCATGGTCATTATTATCTGGTAAACAAAATAATTAATACGTGTTAGTACGTTGCGTATAATTAGATTTATTTTTTCTATGTTAGTTTTTTTAATATTGGAGAAATTTACACATAAAACAGAAACTTCAATCGCTTACGACAGAAGCGAGATTTGGGAAAAATATTTCTCAACTAAAATGAACAATATAAAACCAAACATATTGCAATAGTAATAACGTCAAAATATCACCAAAATATTGTGCAAAAACGTAGAAAAAACTATTGCTTATTGCTTTGAACCGTTGTCGATGCAACGTGGTCTTAGTAAAATATTCTCTAGAAAAACTAAAACTTCTACCCAAAGTTTATTTTTAAGAAATTAAACAGAAAAACAGATTTACAAAAAACAAGAATAAGATTTTACGTATCCCTATTGTGTAATATAGAGCCTTTTGGAATTCCCTTATAGTCCAGTCAGATAGGCATTTCACCTCGGAATCTAACGGAATAAGCTGAATTTTTGTACAAACCTTTATTTTAGCTTTGCAAATGTTGTATCAAAAGTCACATATGCCAACGTGTGAGCGACCTTAGATATTCAAGGTCAAAGGTCGCAAAAATCAATTTTTTGAAAATATCTCCTTTTCTCTGCCTCCTATCGTATTTGCATGTATTATACAAATTGTAGAGAATAAAATTCTCTACAAAATTTGTTTAAAACATTTTTTTATACGTCCAATCGTTTTTGAGATAGAGGGCGCAGAGTGTGGAGCGCTCAGCCATACGTACCTTTAGCGCAAGGTAAATCATGAATCCCAATCTATTATACCGTTTTTTTAATTAATTATTTATTAAATATTACTTAAATAACAATTTAATACCTTATATTTATTTTTATATATTTTTTTAAAACAAATAGTCATTAAATTTTACTTACTTTTGAGATACAAATAATTAAATAATGAAGTGAATCATTCTAAATATATTCTAATGTTATTCTAATTAATGATAAATGGATTTTAAGAAGAAAAGACATTAAATGAATTTGCCTTAAATATGTCTCTGGTCATCTCTTGGATCCAGATATTGCTTTTAAAATAACAGACCTGGAAATACTATAGTGGGCTTGCTATAAATAAAAAGGTTAGGTATACCTATATTAAATTTTAAAGCAAGTTAACACAATTGTGACCCTAGGTATAGGTCTAGGGTTGTGACAAGTAATATTCGTAATATTTTAAAGGTTAACAAATCATGATTTGTGTTTTATTTGTAAAAGTTACTTTCTGAAGGTGATTCTGTGACTTTTGTGCGCGGTATAAAGACTTTAAAAGAAGCAATTATTGAGAGAAATAAACATAAACTACCTACCTAAATACTTTGAATTCTGTGAACGTTCATATTGAGTGTCGAAAATTGTACGCTATAACGTACTATAGTAAAATTGCAGCAGCAAAACGTCGCCTTGAAGAGACTGGACCTTCAACGTCATCAACTGTACCTCGTAAAAAAGGGATGATGTGTTTGATTTTAAAATATTGTGCTTATTTTGTGGTGAAGTCGCGGATGAGGCAACAAAGGCAAAAAAATCTGCAAAGTACAAACGCGTTATAAGTACGTTTTTGAAGATATGACAATTAATGTCAATGATAACGAGGAGAGTGATGATGAGAATGAGTCTGAAATTGCTGGCCAACCTGAAGAAGACGAGGATGAAGAAGATAAAGATTAATAATAATAATAATATTAATTATATTGATATAAATAAAAACATTTTTTTCTATAGGAGTATACTCCGATTCAATTATCCTTCATTAAAATTAAATTAAAATATACTCTCTAAAAATGAATTAGTCAAAAATGACTAATTTAATAGTTGTTAGTGGCTGCTTTTTCACTTGTACCTTGGTTAACCATGGAATACCATGGTATCAAGAAATTTAACAGCCAATTCTTATGTAAAATTGTTCCTTGAATCCGAAAATACCGTCAAAAATTATGAAAGTGGAGCAGTTTTTGAGATATAGTCAATTTCATATGAAATGGAAAATTGACTATATCTCAAAAACTGTTCTAGTTTTTTAACTTTTGACGACATTTTCGGATTCAGGGGACAATTTTACATAAGAATTGGCTGTTAAATTTTGGGATACTATGGTATTCCATGGTTAACCATGGTACAAGTGAAAAAGCAGCCACTAATAACTATTAAATTAGTCATTTTTAACTAATTCATTTTTAGAGAGTAAGATATAGGTATATGAAGATAAAATATATTTGATTTAAAAGAAATATAAATATAAGTATAAGGTATTAAATTTTTATTTTAGTAATATTTATTATATAATTAATTAAAAAAACGGTATAATAGATTGGGATTCACGATTTATCTTGCGCTAAAGGTACGTATGGCTGAGCGCTCCACACTCTGCGCCCTCTATCTCAAAAACGGTTCAACGTATGAAAAAATTTTATAAACAAAATTTGTAGAGAATTTTATTTTCTACAACTTTTATAATAAATGCAAATACGATAGGAGGCAGAGAAAACGAGATATTCTTAAAAAACTGATTTTTGCGACCTTTGACCTTGAATATCTAAGGCCGCTCACACGTTGGCATATGTGACTTTTGAGACAACATTTGTAATGCTAAAATAAAGGTTTTCACAAAAATTCAGCTTATTCCGTTAGATTCCGAGGTTGATCCCTTTTTTTGACTAAGATGACTGTACTATTAACAAAGGTCATTTGTATAAAATTCTGCAAATCGAAATTTTCATTGAACTCGTAAGGTTAAGGAATTTATGCTATTCCAGGAGAT